AAGCCAGAAATAATAATTATTTCTTCCTCATAATTATTCCTTTCCCCTGAAAGAATAAATCAAAGAACTCGAAGACATCTCGAACTAATTCAGAAGCAACTTCGGGGCATTCGGAAGCAACTTCCAGACCTCCGGATGCAACTTTGAAACATTCCTGAACTGCTCGAATCCTTTACTTCACACTCTGCCGAAGTAATAATTGTTTAAGATGCGGTTTCATAGTTTTACTCTAAATAATGATCCTCTTGTGTTGCTATTGATAAAAAAAAAAAAAAATGAGAATGAGCTTAAGCAGTAAGTTAAATAAACAACACGATGAAACTACAAAGTGTGCGGACTTGTCGGAATCATAGCTATGTCGGAATTTAAAAGCTAGCGATTTCATGAGATTCCACGATAAACATTATATTTACCCTGGACAAGAATCTGTAAAAGACGCATCCCACGTAAGAAAATAGACTGTTCAGCGTCTCTTCAGGATCATTTTGATTGAAAACATTGAGAAATTTTCCTTTGACTGAAATTATGGTCTAGAACTGGGGCGTCTGGGGGCTTCCCCACTTCCGGTATGCTTCCATACAGTAAATCGTTGCCGTAGTAACATGGATGACCTAAGACGGCACAAAAATTTCGCTTTCCCTAGGGTTCAGCGACCGTGGGGAGGATTGGGTGGGGAAAAGGGAGATTTTAAAAGCCCCCCAAATTTTTGGAGATGGTCCTACTTTGTTTATTCTTACTAATTAGTTTCTCATCTACTGTGAGAAACTAAAGCCCGAAACATCAGAACTTGCTAACATGACGTTTATAGGGTAGGAAACGGTACGAAATTTTAAAAAACACACAGACAACTCTTTGTGAGGTGTGTTAGACATTGGCTGTTTATGTGCTTTTCAACCGTTTTATCGATCTTATGGTAAAATCCAATACAAATCCTTCTAATCTGGCTTCGAATACGCTGTTGTGAGTCTGGCTACCCTGTGATGGGGTTGGAAGTTGTTTTGCCATCATGGAGATGGTTTATTCCATCGAGAGGACATAGTTAATTGAGTGGAATGGTTATGAAACCCGTCAGACTCCTTTGTTATATGTTTTTGTGGACCTGAAAGTGCACAACGTTCAAAAGAATTCCTATCATTTTGATTGTATTGACCAATAAAAACGTTGCGTTAATTTATTCCGTAACAATTTGCCAACAGAAAACAAAGGATTGTGCACTTTCACGGTGCTTTGAACATAAACTGCAGGACTGTTGTTTTTATCATTGATGTTTGCCGCTTTTCATAACCAGTCTCCTCTAATAACTATGGAGAGGAGGGTTAAATGGGGTATGCAAATCCGCCGTTAAAATTTCGCCCTGAATTCAAAATTCGGGCAAAAATGTTCTTATTACCAAGTCCAAAATCCAGCTAGGCCCAAAAAGTGGATGAATCCGCAATCCACCGCAATTGCAGGATCCGGAAATCCGTTAAATTATATCTCGCTTTAAATCCGAAATCCGGGCAAAAATATTTTCAAAATCAGCCAATCTGCTCGCCTATTCCGCCCCTCCGTTAAGAGTGTAGCTAAATGTCGTGGGTCGTGGGTAGTGGGTAGAGGTCGTCGGTCGTGGGTGTGGGTGTGGGTAAATGTCGTGTGTAAAAAAATGTCTTCCAAAAAAGAAAAAATTAAAAAGCAAAAAGTTGCAAAAATCTCCGGGTACATACCAGTCCTATTCCCCTTTCCCGCGGTCAGCAAAACAAATTATCGAATCCTCTAGTACATACGGGCACTAAAAAGGCATTTAGGTGAAAAATAAAAGAAACTCTGTACACTATGTAGACCTGAAGCAGGCTAAAGAAAAACCTTCGTAACGTAAGAGACCTAAAACTTCTTTAAGAAACACTTCTATCCAAAAATGTGAAATACCTCAAAATTGTCCTTTTCCCCTCCCCTTTCTCACTGTGATCGCATTCCATCGTGTTTAAAAAAATCTTTGCTGATCACTGGAATTGTAGATCGAATAAAGATTAATAGTGAGCAGCCATTTCCATTCAGCGAGTCAGAGCTGTCCCATACTTTCTGCCAATTGCAGGTATAATTTACCTCTGTTTCGTTTATTTCGCGGCGATAGCTCTGGTACGGATAAAATCTTCATCGGCAACATGTCTTTTATACAGTTATGTTGTGAAAGGGGAGCAAAGTCCCACGTAGCTTAGGAAATATCAGGAAGTGGACGAAGAAGAGGCCGTGACGAACAAGGCAATCAAGGAGTTGGAGATTTTCGTTTCATAAATATTTTACAATTGTTTTCTATTTATTTCCTTTTTTCTATTACTTTACTTTATCATTTTTTTTCTATACTTTTTTTTTACCCACGACATTTAGCCACACCGACATCCACGACCCACTACCTACGATCCACGACATTCAGCTACACTCCTCCACAACAGCCACTTTTTTTGTCACGGCGGACAGTCCATATATTGGCTCTTGTTTAAACCTCTCTACAACGACAACGGCCACTAAAGCGTATCCCCAACTGCCAAAATAACCTCTCGACAACGGCCAACCTAACCCTGACAATTGTCCATAAAACAAAGAAAACCAATAAATTATATTACCCCGGGTATGACCCTACTTTTCTGGCCATTTCAGGCCACCAAATGTTCCATTTTCTCCGCGGGATAAAACTATAAACTCACACATTTTATCACAACTTGGTTGGTCAACATTCGTTTTCATACGAAACGTCCAAATGTTATAAAAAATGTAAGTTTAAAAATAGTTTGCTACGGGGAAACCTGCATGCCAAGCTCATACAAGTAGTCAATGCACAGAGCAATATGGAACGTTCTAAACGTGATGAGTTTTATTTTGAATATTTAAGTCTTTTAAGTAGGCCTAACAACAGGTTTCTTAGTTCTATCTGAAGAAAAGCAAATAACTATTTAAGTACAAGAATACAAAGGCTTCTGTATCTTACTGTAATTTACCACTACACTAGGTATACAATGACTTTCAAAACCTGCAAAGCCCTTCTTTTTTTGGCTTTTTATTTCTTTAAAATTGTTTAATTTTCCCTTAACCTGTCATATAAATTTTCCGTTTTTCAAGAAATTGTCTAGTAATCTGTGACCTTTTACGAGAAACTTTGATCACTTGTTTTCACATTTCCAGACAAAAGTAGAGGTTTCAAAAGAATTCTTCAAGAAAAAGGAAACATCACATGACAGGTTTACAAACAATTAAGCAATTCTCTTTTGGTTAAATCTAGTTTATGTTTAATACTATATTGAACTGTTTACATAAGAACTTATACAAACCTCACGGAAGGGCTACAAGCTGTTAGCTAAATACGGCGGGTTTGAAATATTTTCATTCGGCATTAGAAACTATTTACGATACATATCAAAAAAATAATTCATCCACAGAAGGTTACATGATTTACACAAAGAAAAGACTAAATAAAATTTACCATATCCATAATTGTGAATATATTCCAAATAGAGAATATATAGTTCTCAACATAATACTACAGCACAATAAAACCGTTACAAAACAATGAAATGTACAAAGACATTTACAGTTGTTTCTGATCCAATATGACCAGACTTGAATTGAATTGTTACTTCGCACATTAACTATGAAGCTCATTTGAGTTTACAGTTTTCCCAAAAATAACCTGTTTCAAAAATACATTTAACTATTCTATACACTTAACGCAAAGTAAAGCACTTTTCAACAGGCTTTGGACAAAATTAGTTAAAATTAAACTATACTGTAGTATTACCATGATATGAATAGATAAGTACGACACTCTCACTCCTAAATGAAAAGCATTGCTTGTAGCAACCATGATTTCCATATACCAAACTATGAATGACAATCAATAAATGTTAAAACTACGAGTTTACCACTACCTTTTAATCACTTATTACACCAAAGCAATTTAGAATACTAACAAACTCTGTTGGCCGAGAAAGAATAGCATTCAAATCCACCCGAACAGACGGAAACAGACAGCAAGTCCAGGACAGATTTCGCCAGCGTATTCTCTGGGAGTCACCATCAAAGGATTCAAAGCACTTTACCCTTTTTCAAGTGGTCATCGGAAAATTTTGTTGCCAATCCTTAACTTTTTCACACTGGCTGATGTTGGCTTGAAGCAAGATTATACATCATCATTGAGGTAAATTATCTTAATCACAAAAATTAAACACCATAAGAACCCTCACCCCAACAAGCTTCTGTGTTTTATACAAATCCTGTGGGGTATGGACTACCAAGACTATTGCAAGTATGGTTAGGTGAAATGACTGAAGGATAAACACATTTGTACACAAGAGACAACGACAACCTAAAAACAAACAAACAAGAATAGTTGTTTAACACAATGTAGGTGCCGTTTTACAAACGTCAACAAATTTATTTTCAAAACAGCTTGGTTCACTGTTACTAAGTATATTTAGTAACTGAAAAACTGGATGACAGCGAAGGAGCAAAAGGAATCAAGGAGGTCCATTAGTTAATGTTCGGGCATAAAAAAAAACAATTCTTGAAGAAACTCAACGCTGAAGTTTTTATGAAAAGATATCCGCCAAACCACCGTCATTGACTTCATGGTAATTTCAATGTTTCTCTCGAAGAATTTTCACAAATTTGAGAGCGAACGCTTAGAGGAAGAACTAGGCTATGCTATTGCATTGTTCTCTCAGACAAAAAACTTTGTTCCTCACTGTGGGTGTACACCAGTGACATACTGGGGGGTAGTCCTGGGTGAAACTACTTACACCTATTCCAGGAGGGAGAAGTTAGGCACTTAATGATACAAAAATGGCAAAAGCAAAGGCCGAATGTATCCTTTTTGGGACGTAACGAGCTTATAACTACCTCAGTAAATCAGCCAGGCAGGTTTCCATCAGTAGAAAGTGGCGCTTAAGTCAAAATGGAAAGAGATTTGGCACGAGCCGCAGTCTACGTCCTGCGAGGAGGTAAATGACGTGAAATCGGTTGATCTGATGTCAGTCGGAGTCGTCCGATTCGAAGAAATAGTTAGCCGTTAACAAGAAGCGTTCTTCCAAATCAGGAGCATCTAACATTTCATCTTTAGATGACGAGTTTGGAACGTTGGCCCTTGAAGGGATTCCCCCTACCGGCTGTAGTCTTGCCTGAATTGTATCTACCATGCCTTTCGGCGGTGCCGTCAAGAATTTCGAAGACAATGCACGTTCGAGCTTGCAAAGATTTATCACACATACTCGATCTGCAGATGAAAAACAAATAGCTTTGTCCTCTTCAGGCGACACGGCCATGGAGACGATCTTTTCTTCCCCATGTGTAATCCTCACGAATCCAATGGCTTTTGATTCGGCAACATCCCACAGGAATACCATTCCATCAATGGCATAGGATATAAGGTAACGATTTACTTTTAGAAACCTGCAGAATTCAATTTTACCGAGATGACCACGTAAGATTTGCCTAGAGGAATGGATATTAACTAAAGACAGATTGTAGACAAAGATTAGGTTCGCGATGCAGCAAACTAGAAACTCGCTGTCCAGCGAAACAGTGCACTGACTGAACCTAACTGGATTGTAAAAACTCCCCACTTCCACTCTTTTCAGTAAGCAGCAAGGATGCTTTTGGAACTTCCAGACCTCAAATTCGTAGTAACCACACAGTATAAGCTTACCCATATCGGGTGAGAGGCAAAAACAATCTACAGTCTGTAGTAGTCCTGGTGATTCAAATGACTCTAACATCGCTTGTTTTCTAACATCCCAAACATAGAAATGCGAGCCCTTGAAGTCGTCCTGAATACAAACGAAAAGTAAGCCGCTATCAGCGGTAAAGTGCAAACAAGCATCCATGATACCAAACTTGTCCTCAAAAACTGTACAATGAAATCTTTTAGATTCTGTTAGGTTGTGTAGCGTTAATTCGTTTTTGTACTGTACAGAAATAAGTTTTCCATCTGGCGAAAAGACGCATTTTGCATCTGGCGAAAAGACGCATTTTGGGTGGCGGGGCGCAAACTTGGGAGGAGAACTTGTCAAACCGAAAGAGGACATGTAGTAGAAAACCACGATATCATGTTCATCCTTAAAATTGCAAAACGTAACGGCTGAGCTGGAACTAATACACGTCACAGTATGGCTTGAACTGAACATCGCTGCGATAGTCTTCACGGGGCAGAAACGAACCCGTCGAAAAAATTTGAAAGGACTAAATAGATTGTTTAAAAAGACAACCTTTTCTTCACCACCACTACGAAAGAAGTAACCAACTTGCTTTTCTTTTTTGAACAGTACAAAGTTAGATCCTGACACACTAGTGAAAACTTTGCCTGTTTGAAGAGAGAGAGCATAAAGTGAATATCCAGAAGAATACACAGCAAGGAGATCATCGTTCGTTAAAGTAAAATTGGATACACCGGTGATATTATGCTCATCCTTGGTAAAATTATAATTTCTGTGATTCTCTTTTTGGATTCTCGTTCGCAGCAAATTAACTCTGCCATGCATCAAGCCCTTGATGTACCAGTTTTTTTCTGGTGAAAGGGTTAGGGAAACATCCTTGTGAAAGAGATTAAGAAAGCCTTTAGGAAAGTGCGTATAAAAGTCAGACTTGAGTAAATAACAAAGCTGCTCAGCGCTAGATTCAATTGTAGGAAGCTGCTTTTGCAGTCGACAAAGGAAAAATTTCCAATTGACGCGCAAATGCACATTATTTGACCTAATTAACTCCTCCAACTCTTTCAGTAGCCACACTCCTTCAGAGAATTCCTTTGTGAGTATCGCATGAAGCTGACACATAGACTTCCGGAGGTCTTCATTCTCTTTCAACCGCTCACAATTGGGTTCCAGTTGGCCATTCAGGAAACGTTCAAGCTTAACGTTTAGCAAAAAGTAAACGGCAGAAACAACAGCAATGTTACAAACTGAAACAGCTTTATCGACCCAAGAACACTCAACACCTCTTCCCCGCAGATCAAGAGCAGCAGTCACGTGACAAACATACGCAAACGTGTTTAACCTGGCATCCTGGTTAAACACTTCGTGCAGCAAGGATTTTCCCGACTGAAGATTCCAAATCTGATATCGGAAGAGTCGAGGGTAAAGTTCAATGATAAGCTTACGAACAGCTGTAAGGCATAATTCTTTGTCTGATTGTGTTAATTCCCTTAACCTGCAGCAAAAGTAACAAAAAGGATCGCGTGGTACGAACATCACATGATTTCCATAAGCCCGTGGGTCAACACCAAGAAATTGCATTAAGCATCTCACATGCCTACCCATGTTACCGATTTCAGCGATCCTATATGATAACTCGGCAAAAGAGCAACTCCTTTCCTCTTCTGGGCTATTCTCAATCTCATTCACAGCCCACAAAGCAAACAATTCTGTAAGACAACACCCGCCTTCACACATTGGAGGAAATTGCAAAAGATTCGTTTTTACAACCATGTAATGTTCGTCAGTAGTGGTTAAACCCCATTGATAATCGAAAACATTTCCTGCGAACTGTGGTACGTCCTCCACACATCTTCCGTCAACCGAGAACCACTTTTCGAGCCGTCCGAAAAATACAAACTTGTCGTCCGAAGAAAACTCTAAATGGTTGATTTGTTTAATCGTATCTATGCTTATTTCAAAAGGGCCACTTGCTATTTGAAGTATGGATGCATCGAAAAAGAAGAGCGAGCGACCCTCTGCACCAACCACAGTTCGCTTGTTAGAAGCTGTGGCAAAGCAGTTACACCTACAAAGAAGTTCAGCAGTAGAAAATTCAAAAATATTCCACTCAAACCAAGGCGAGGACACTCGAGGAATCGAAACACTTTCTTGGACAACATCTGACGCGTTTCGTATACATGACGGCAACAAGTGAGGACTTTCTACGAGAACATGAGCATCACTTTCCAGAGCTATGGAAATCTCCTGCAAGATATTCTGCTTCTCTCTCTCCTCAACAGCAAGGCAGCTGGCTGCAAATTCAAAATCTTTAAGCAGATGGTAAATTCCAAATCTCCCACTTCGAATCCTTTCCTCCAAGAAACGATAACTTGTTAAACAACGGAACACAGACAACAGCGAATCCTTTTCTCCATCTTGACACAATAATTGAACACTAAACTGAACAAAACAACTCTGTAAATCTCTCTCGACAGACTTCAAACTCATTCCCGGATCGTAAATAAAAGCAGATAGAACTTCCTTAACAATTTCACTTAGGTAACAAGCTGCGTCTTCTTCGACAATATACAACTCTTTAGCTTTATTTTTGTTTGTTAACAACGCCGGGATCAGATTATGAAGAAAAGACACTGTCTTTTGTAGCACAACAAATTGGGAAACAGCATCGATAACGTCTTGTTGATTAAGACCTGAACTCTCTCTCTGGAGAACAAACGAAATAAAGGACACGGGAAGCGGAGATGGTGCAGTTATGATACAGCCCAATAACTTGCTGTACAGATCTCTGCCTACCTTATCGTAGACACGCCGTAAATTCGTTTGAAAGAAGTCTTCAATATCCCCCGGAAAAAGCTCGTTTATCTGATCAACCTTACCTGAATGAAACGAATCGTTAAGTTCTCTCGCAATATAGAAAGCATATAAGAATAGTCCCTTACACTTTCTTGTCACGTCCTCCGCCGAGTAAGGGAAACGGGAGAAATCTACACTTTTTTCTAAAAATCGCTGAATGTCCTGTTCATGCTGGTGATAGAAGTTGCGCCGTTCACCACTTCCCGCGCAAATCCTAATACACGGGTTGTACTTCTCCAATCTGCTCTGTAACATGTCTTCAGGGCGACTGGTAATAAAGAACACGAGCCATTCTGGGAGCCGGGGGAAACGCTCTTTAATAAGACAAATGAAATCTTTCCTGGACTTGTACTCTGTCTCGTCTAGAGCGTCAATAATGACTAATTTGCGTTGCGGAAATGGCTTGCACTTACTTAGTGGCTCTTCTAGTAATTTAGTACATAGTTCCTGCACCCCTAAATTAGAATTGGCTAACAACCTTCTTACACCATCCTCCCCTCCCATTCTACTATTGTACTCACTATTGCAATCACAGAGCTGACAGGATATAGTCCCAAGGAGATTCCTTGGATCATTTCTTGTGCCATCATAATGACGGCAAAAGTAAGCAGCACCAAGATGTCCAGCTTTCGTCATACGCTGCGCCAAAGTTCCTGCTATCACACTCTTACCGACCCCTGCATCTCCAAGGAGAACATAAGCTCTGGACTCCCCAGGGTAACTGAACCACTTGTCAAAATCGTCAAATAGCCACTTCCTTGTATCTTTATGATGACGCCCGGCAAAAAAGGCGATGTCTGCTTCGCAGTTAGCAATCTCTGCATTAAAAAGTAAAACGAAGAAAATTATCATCCACATGGTAAAGCTAAACTAACGTTTTTTTGTTGACAAGGAAGGATATTTAAATCCAGTTCTACATCAGAATCGCGGGCCAAAAAAGTGATAATGTTTGACTTTTAACCGCCTGGAAGGCTGGAAACTAGCAATAGGAAAAATTTACAGGTAAAGAAACCATAAAAATGTGACACCCTTCAAATTCGAAAGTGACCGCAAAAGGTATACTCATCTGTTAACAAGGTTAGTTAAAGATAAAAATTACAGTGACGTTTTCGCGTTTAAATGGGCATGTGGGACGAGCGTTTCAGTCTTGGGCTCTTCGATCAAGTTTAAGCCCGCGTTGTAAGTAAACAGCGGAGGCTTTAAGGGTGAAACTGCTCACCAAAACTGTGGGGGCTTCGAACGCATGCTACTGATTTTCTTTTCGCCGTGAATGGGCTGTGTATGTTTTCCTTGCTATTCTGACAGAAAATTGACGAATGGAACTGTTATCTGGCAAGAAAACCGTCTTATTCTTTTTCAAGGGTTTTCATTTTCGTTTCAACATTCCCAGTGAAAAGTTTTACCCTGAAAGTTGCCTTTTCACCAAGTGGTGCGGTGCTTTCCCTCAACGCTTCGGTTTTATTCTCGTCAATGATATCTCTGAATCGAGTCAGTTGCACAGGCAAATTTCGTGTTTAAAAGTCGTGTTTCCACAAGCTAAGTATGTTTGAGCACCCAAAATATAGTGGCTTGCCCTAATTAGGCGAAAGGATAACTCTACTGTGGATTCGTTTGAAGAAACTTTGGAGACGTGCATTATACTGGAACCATATAGTCTAGACTCCTCGATCTCTTCAACAAAGGTTGTTTACCAGTTATGTTTGTTCAGGCGCGTAGCTGGGGTTTGAGAAGGGGTGTTCGTACTGGTACGAATATTTCTTAACAGCGAGAAATACTGTGAGCGCCAAAGGCGCAAGCCTCTAACTCCTCTAGGGGTTTCTTGAGGCAATTGCCCCCCCAGAAAATTTTGAAATCTAGAATACTGGAAATGCTATTTTCAGTAGTCTCCACAAGAATATTTCACACGTGATCAAGTCTAAAATAACAGGTATTTTAGTCACAACAACAATATTTCCGTTTGACTTGGAACACTCATACATAGTGATACATACCGGCTAAGTACACGAAACGTTTTACAAAACTCGACGTGTTCTGCAAGGTATCTCGGAGCAAAAGCTTAAGCCACCAGTTCCCCGGCTCCTCTCTGTTCGTACTTGATATACATGATAGCCAGTGAGGAAACACACTCGCCCATGGTACATCTCAAGTAATTGTTCAGCCTTCTCATTGTGTTGATTGAACGCTTGCACTCGCACGATGTCACGGGAAGAGTAGCCGCAATCTTGAGAAGAATGTACAGGTTAGAAAAATCATCAGGATCAAATGCTTTCAAGGACGCAGCGCATGAATCAGCCGTTATTATCCTAGCTTGCACCTTCATCCTCCAACGCTCAAATTCGGCAAAGAAGAGCTGTGGCGAAGACAGATCATCTTTGTATAGATCTACTTAGTCAGTTAGCAGCTGAGCAGTGATTTGGCTTTCCTAAATTACAGATTGCGCTAACCCGAGCAGCTTACTGACCCTCACTGTCTATCATGCACATCAAGTAGGATATGCCTATCCATCTGGACGAAGTTGTCGATTTTGGGGGAACCTAGGTGATACGTGTTTAATACAAATTGACGTTTGACGCTGCTTTCAGCACAAAGACAGCGGAGCCGGGAAACTGGGGGGGGGGGGGCTAAGCTTTTGCTTTGAGATACCTTGCAGCACACGTCGAGTTTTGCAAAACATTTCGTGTACTTAGCCGGTATGCATCACACTATGCATGGAAAACAAACTTTAAGTGTTCTTAGTCCTACATCATTGACCTGCAAAGGGGGTTCGTGAGTAGTCTACTATGTTGCGAGATAAGCCTCGTTGGTGGATAGGTAAGGATAGTTTAGGGATAGTCTATGAAACCACCCATTGTTATAACATAGGCAAAAAATGCCTTCCTGCATACTAATTCGGTATAGGTTTACTAATGAGCGTCTCTCTACTTCAATAGGCTTGCCCGTTAAGTAACTTGAACCCGGTTTTCAGACCGTCTATTAAAAGGAAAATAGGAATAAGAGAAGCGATCACCTAGCAACGCGAGAAACGGCTTCCTATATCTTATTTAGCGCTAAAACTCAGACATATAAACAAAACACATACACAAAGTGGAGCTGAAAACTCTCTATTTCAATTAAGTTCATGTCTTCTTATACAGCTCTAAAACTCGGATATATATAAACAAAACACATATACACAGAGTGGAGCTGAAAACTCTCTATTTCAAGTTTGTCGGACGTTTTCTCCGTTCTATCTCGAGGAAATGAAAAACTATTAATAAACGTCTCAGAGTTTTACGCACCGTTAATCAGTTAATTATGCGAGTTCGCAAGCCCACCGTTGCATACAAATTAGTTCTACAGGAAAGACCCAAGGGAGCACCTTGACGTATTATTATATAAACAATTTGAAATAACTTAACAAGGATCAATTAAAACACGCGACTAATAATTGCTAGTAATAAAATCAGACACGAGATACCGTTTTAAAGACTTTATTAAAAACAAAAAGAATCAAATACACAGCGATTTGTAAGGGATGGAAATTAATTAATCTTCATCTTCGTTCTCCGCTTAACTTTAGAGGGGGAATAGAAATTGGTTTCCAACGTCTTCACGTTTTTGTGTGTAACTGCTCCGCAATCGTGACACCGAAGAAAACCCTCTTTCATGTAATTTCTCAACTCGAGAATCTGGTGATCGCATATAGGACAAATCTTGTAGTAATCGCGCCAAAAGCATTTAGGACATTTCACGATCAATGTCCCGTACACATTAGAGTTCTCGCAGTGTTCACAGGGACTTTTGGAGTGAAAGGTGGTGGACGTTTCAGGGTTACTACTAGGGAACTTAAGATAGAGACGTTTTCGGGGCGAAGGCAACTTCAACCGGACGTGACATCATCATTTGTTGGATATTGCGCATGCTCTTGCTCACCACCTTGCCGTCGTGGTCCCGTTGGCGACGTGAAACTGGCCTGTTTGGCGTTGGGGCGAAAACGTGAGTATTTAACTTTCATTTCAATCAGGTTTGTTGCGTTTAGCAACCAAAATTTTGCAGATTGTCGTTCTTAAATTGTCCTTGTTTTCTTTGAGGCACATTTCAAGCTTGATTTCCAAGCTCTGTTATCTAACTTACATCTTTGAATGTTTCGATGTTCTCATGTCACAGGGTCAAGATCCAACTTGGCAAACAGCCAACCGTAAGTGAGCTTGATATGGATAAAATTGTCCCACGAGCCAAATAAAAGTATCCAGACAAAAAATATGAACTCCGATATTTTAATTGTGTGTTTTTAGTTCGCTCTTTTCGTTAGAATATCGTATAAATGAAACGCATTGAAAATTACATAGAATAGTAGGTAATACGATGCACTAACGTGGGAATACTGAAATTGAGTTGTTGCCGTTGTTGTTGTTGCATGCAAGTATTTCCCGGGAATTATTTCAATACCAAACTAAGAATACGGTTCCTTGGTAGCATTTTAATGTTCCTGGAATTTGCAAGGCTTCGGCAAGCCTGTGGAGATCATTTTTTTTTTTCAACACGAAATTCTTCCTTGCACTCAGCTGCATCCCTTTTTTTTTTTAGCGTGAACGGATCGTAACTGTCCCGAGGAAAATCGGGATTTTTGGACTCATAATTTTCCCACAAAACGAGAAACTCTTCATCCGATACATGTTGTCTGCATAGCAAATTTTTATTCTCTTAATTCTTTATGTGAAGCCATATTTTCCTCTTCGGTATTCTTCTAATTAAAGGCGCCGTCCTCTGAGTTCACTGCGATCTTTATGTTCGATTTTTGACGGGAAGCGACGGCTGCCTCAGTTCCAGGCTTTCTCTGCCGGTCCGGTCGCCGTCGCCCCGAAAACGTCTCCATCTTAAGTTCCCTACTTTCTGTTTCCTGACTGTCGTTTTCAGTGTCGTTGTCGCTCTCTTGGGTGCCTTCAGCTTCAACGCCATTCTCAGAAGCCACTTCCTCCTCCTCCTCCTGATTTTCAATATCCGATGAACTCTCCTCATTATTACTCTCGTTATCGGAAGTATTTTCTACATTTTGTAGCGTTTTCCTTTTCTATTAAATCACTTAACAACTTTTTGTTCTTGATTAAACCTTTATCGATTCCTAACTCTGCAAGTCCATCTAGAAACGTATTCAGCGTACGAGGGAGTGAGGGAGTAACACATACTCAACTAGCTCAGTGATGTTTGGGACGGGAATAGTGCGTTTATTTCGAAGTAATTGTTCGCTGGGAGTCCAGAAAAGAATATCTTTGGACGCGGCCATACTATGCAGCAAATCAGAAGCACGCTTTTCCGGCAATGCTCGGCAAAGATGACTCAAAACATCTTTTATTCTCGCTTCATCCTCGCTTTCATCACCAGAACTTTCGCTTTCTTCATGTTCACTCTCGTGTTCTTCTTCTTCAACTAAATCTATCTTTCTCTTCATTTTGACGAAAACCCGTGACAGACTTAGCTTCGAATGATCAACCTAACGATGCGTCACCTCTTTTATAGCATTAGAAATCCTAAGCTTGAAACAACAGGGGCTAATACATCTTCAATAAAACCACTACCCTCTTGTACAAGGACTCGCTTCTTTGTTTTGTAAGGGACATTTGGACTGGCCAGGTTAAGTAAAGCATCCTTATATGGCAGCAATATCCGCTTATTTTCTTCGGAGATAGGAATGTGTCCCATGAGTACATTGTATAAGACTTGGACTAGTGCATGTAGTTGCTGTGGTGTAGCTGTCTTTAAAAGAAACTGGCGCTGATAAGCAGGGCAAGCAGCTAACAGCTGAAGAAAACCACGATTGTTGTTCACTACACGAGACATTGCTGCAAAATGAACTAAGAATGGCAGATGGTAGTCTTTTATAGAATCTCGTGGAGGGAAAACGATAGAAATGTAAAGGCGGTGGTGGAGGAAAACAATAGGGAGCTTTAGCATCGACGATGGACACGGCAGCGAAAACGTCAGTTTTAAAAGTTGATTTCTTGAGGACCGCACTTAAGTTTAGAGAGAGAAAAAGAGACTCGTCGTCACTTGTTTACGTCCTCCATAAAACTTGCAATTAGGCATTTTCCCGTCGTAGTCGTGCAAGGAGGGTGAAGAAATGTACAAAAAAGCGTGATGCACGTGCAAAGTTGGTGTTTTGCGTAATAAATCGATTGCTTTTTTGACGTCCTGGTTGCCGTCGCCGTCGTCGTTTGCTAAAGCTCCCTAATAGTAATGTGGTGGCGGTGGCGGTGGCGGTGCTGGTGGTGGTGGAGGAAAAACAATAGAAATGTGGTGGTGGAGGGAAAACAATTGAAATGTGGTGGTGGTGGAAAGAAAAACAATAGAAATGTGGTGGTAGTGGTGGTGGTGGAGGAGGGAAAAGAATTGAAATGTGGTGGTGCTGGTCTTGTGGGAGGAAAACAATTGAATTTTATGGCCTGAAAACCTATATAAATGCGCAACATTCTACCTCTTTCTCAGTCTACATTTTGCTCCTGAGGAGTTGACATGAGTTGATTCTGTTCTGTCTGCGAAAAATCCTTTTGTAGAAAAGATAGTATGCAAAGGCTCGTGATGTCTAAACACCGCAATGCTGATCTCACCCCATTTCAAACAGTTCCGATGTTTTCACAGAAATGTCAGCGGTTTCGCTTCGAGCATCGTTTCACCTCCATGATTGCTGGAATGACCGGGTCTGGAAAAACGGCCTGGGTTCGATCTCTATAGCAACAAGCTTCAGAGACCATTTACCCTCCCCCGGAGAGGATCGTTTGGTGTTATTCACAATGGCAGCCTGCGTATACACAAATGTTAGTCGCCATGCCACACATTGAATTCGTCAAGGGAATTCCTACAGCTTTGGAGCAGGATTCCTATTTTGATGTGAACAAACGGAATTTGATCGTGTTTGATGATCAGATGATTGACGCCAGTAAAGACAAGCGAATTGTGAACCTCTTTACTCGTGGTTCTCATCATCGCAATCTGAGCATGATTTATGTCGTGCAGAATCTATTTCATCAGGGGAAAGGTAGCCGCAGCAAAAGCCTAAACAGTCATTATTTGGTGTTATTCAAGAATCCACGAGACAAATTGCAAATCCCGACTCTGGCGAAGCAAATGTATCCCGGGCAGACGGATTTCTTTTTAAATCAGTACGAAGAGGCTGTAAAAAGACCTTTTGGTTATCTTCTGATTGATCTGAAAACTACTACCCAAGATAATTGTCCCAAGATAATTGTCGGTTGCGAACAAACGTCCTGCCCAGTGAAGAAGCCTTTATAACCAAGCAGGGTTTCAAGAAAATATTCCTCAAGAGCTTCTAAAATATCTGAAGCAGAAAACTCTTTCGCCTGTCCCGCTTCTTCCAGCTATGCAAGAAGTACAAGGCAACATGGACGACGTTCTTTCTCGAAACGATCTTCGGGACGATGAAAAAGCTAAGCGATACTTTCAGTTGCAAAACAGATACCTGGCTTTTAAAGAGAAATTAAGTACAAGAACAAGACCGGAAGAAATAATCAGCACTGTTCCAGACTTAACATCAAGGACACAAGATTCTTCGACAGCATTCTCTACTCCCCTCAACCCCTTTAATGTAACACCTGAATTAACACAAGCGGCTATCTCTCAAAAACTTGACAAAGAAAGCCTTACCCCTCCACCACCCCTAAATCCTGCTTTCCTGACCCCTCCTCCTACAGTAGAAACCCGATCACAACAAGGTCCGAAGCGCAAAAGGGTCGGATTCAATTTATAAATTATTTGGATGATCATAAATCTCATGCCAAACAGCTGAAGAAACGTAGGCATAAGAAATTCAAACCTTACAAGTACTCCATGGGCGAAGAAGATGAAGATTAATTAATTTCCATTCCTTACAAATCGCTGTGTATTTGACTCTTTTTGTTTTTAATAAAGTTTTTAAAACTCGTGTCTGATTTTATTGCTAGCAATTATTAGTCGCGTGTTTTAATAGATCCTTGTTAAGTTATTTCAAATTGTTTATATAATAATACGTCAAGGTGCTCCCTTGGGTCTTTCCTGTAGAGCTAATTTGTATGCAACGGTGGGCTTGCAAACTCGCATAATTAACTGATTAACGGTGCGTGAAACTCTGAGACTTTTATTAATAGTTTTTCATTTCCTCGAGATAGAACGGAGAAAACGTCAGACAAACTTGAAATAGAGAGTTTTCAGCTCCACTCTGTGTATATCTGTTTCGTTTATATATATATCCGAATTTTAGAGCTAAATAAGAAGACATTGAAATGGAGAGTTTTCAGCTCCACTTTGTGTATGTGTTTTGTTTACATGTCTGAGTTTTAGCGCTAAATAAGTTATAGGAAGCCGTTTCTCGCGTTGCTAGGTGATCGCTTCTCTTATTCCTATTTTTCTTTTAATAGACCGGGTTCAAGTTACTTAACGGGCAAGCCTAGGCAAGCCTATTGAAGTAGAGAGACGCTCATTAGGAAACCTATACCGAATTAGTATGCATTTTTTCCCTAGGTTATAACAATGGGTGACGTCATAGACTATCCCTAAACTATCCTTACCTATCCCTAAACTATCCTTACCTATCCACCAACGAGGCCTATCTCGCAACATAGTAGACTACTTTCGTTCGAACCCCTTGAACTCTCCCTCCTACGCGCCTGTTGTTTCCCAATGAAAGAGTGTATTTTTGGTTGGCTATTTTAAACTTACAAGAATGAAAGCTGATTCGTGCGTTTGGATAAAGGTTACGTCCTCGTGCGGAAGGAGGTTAGGTATTTGCATTTACAGCAGAGGCAAGTGACGTTGTCATCTTTTCATTGTTAGAGCGGGAAATTGAGACAGTTGCCACAGGTGATTTTTCATCCTTCTGTGTGGTAATTAATTGTACTGTTTTAATAAAACGAATTTGAAGTCATAGTGGCCCTATGGATCGCGCCAGGTTCACTCAAATGTTTATGTTTTTGAAACATTAAAAAAATATCCCTTGCGTAAGCGAAGAAATCATATTGCAGCACTTGTTGATTCCCTGTTGTGAGTGTTTCTCAAGTTAACGTTTTTCATTTAAAAGGATATTAAAATGTGCTTTACACTGTGTTTAAAGAATCCTTGCATGGAGAAGAATTTTATTGGAATCAATGGGCAAATTCCCCTTGGATAAAGTTTACTTCCCCTCCCCACCCCTTGACCTATTTTCTTGATTGCCTTCTTAGCCTGATGAGACAAGGCTTTCAACATTTTGCCAGCATGTGATGCTTATTGTTTTTGACTGATGAGCTCATCATAATTTATTACCTTAATGATCATAAAAATTAACAGCAAAAATACAAAGAAAAAAACTAGTTGGGGTCCTCTGTATTTAAAATTGTCACCAGAAGAAGTGATAGGAGTATGTGATGCACTGGCAGCTAGGCTAGAGAAATGAAGAGAAACTTAAATCATGGTGTGAGATATTTTTGCAATGCCAAGTAATAGAAAAAAAAGCAAAGTAATATGAAAAATGTATTTATAAAAAATACTTTTTAAAAAATCAGCGATGTAAATACGACCACTGCCTTGTCAACCTACAGTACACCCCACCCCCTCTCCACATACCAAAAGAATGAAATATACTGTTTCGATTCCTTGAATTATTGCCTACAGCATGGGGCTACTGCGTGGTTTGTGAATAGGCCCTTTGCAGGCTAGCCATTCACGTGGTACAAAACCGCCACGCTAGAGAGCAAAAGTCGCACTGGGACAACACAAACAAAAGATATACATAATTTGAAATGGTAATTTTCTTTGTCCGTCTTGTCCGAGTGCGACTTTTGCTCTCCAGCACGGCGGATTTGTACCACGTGGAGGACTAGCTGCAAAGGGCCTATTACTGCTGTCAGTGATTAAGGAACTGATATGTGGTCATCGAACTACTAGATGTTGCTTGTTCGTTTGTTACTTCTTTTTTTTTCATATTTTAATTTTCCAGGTCATGTTCCTAGAATGGAATGTCATTATGTATGTTTACTGAACTCGCGATGTGGTTACTGAACAATTTGCCCTCATTAAACTGATCAAAACACTGAACTTTTATGATGTGTAGCCAAAATCTGTGTTTAAGTAGGTATATGTTAATTGGTTTCTGTCTTCTGTATTTTGTAGCAAGGACGATATTAGGACAGGAAATAGATTTAGCACTCCGATAATTAGTTTGCAATATAAAGAATTGGATAAATAAGTGACTGATGCTGTATAAAGATCTATAAAATACTACTTTCAACATTTTTGGTGCTTTAGGATGTGGTATGCGGACCGCAGAGGAAACGCCAAAAATTTTCAGATTCATGAATGTTGTACACGATTATCAGATTGATTCAATTTTGTTGGCGTTAAATTTGGAAAAGAAGTAGGCGCTTCTTATTCAC